TCATACYAGTTTTGCTTCTTGAAGAAAATTTGCACAAAGGGAACATCTCATTAGGACATGCCATAGTTAAAACCCAAATTAGTCAGCTTACCTTAACACGCCTCGCTCTGTGAATGAGCCACTTGTTTTGCTTGCTGCCCTGCAGGATCTCTGCGTTTCAGCTTGTTTTAATTAGGTTTTCATAGAATGGAATTAGCAGGTGTGTTTGGATGAAATGGGGGACAGAGATATGAAGCACATGTAAAAGCTTTTGAAAGCGTGGCCTTCTCAGCAGGACATAAAGCTCATTTTCATCCTTCACTGATACTTCATGACCTGACACTTCAAAAGCTCCACTCAGTGAGTCCTGCTTTAAATGACTGTCTGTCAGCTGATGCATGAGCAGACTTTAAATATGTATCATGCAAAATCCACTTTTTTAGCAGTTGATAGCATTTTGTTGTGTACTTGGAGTCTCTAGGAGTGCAGAAAMGTTGACTTTAGTCTCTCTTGCATATCTTTATAAACCTTTTGGGTCATATTTTTCAGCCTGTTCAATTTTCTCTATTTTCTATGATGTTTCCTGAATTATTATGTCACAGTATTTGTGACAGAACTTCTAAACAAGATCTGGACTTACCAACAACAATTTTGTCATTCTCCTCTGGCTCTGGGTCAGACTCTGACTCTAACATTTACAGCTGGATTGACAAGTCTTCTGCYGTTGACATTTTTTTTTTAAATTTGTGGCGAAAAAAACAAATTCTGTGCTATAGTCGTAAAACCCTCTATTAAACTGGAATGGACTGGTATGGAAGCTGGGGGGAGGGGTGAAACATCTCCTTATAATTTAAAGGGACAGCCTCAAAATGAGTTGGTCTGAGACACACCTCAGAAAGGGAGAGGGGGTTGTGGAGTTACAATAAGGAGGAATTCAAACTAAAGCATTGCAGTTCTACTTTATATAGACCTCATCTGAAKGAATAAAACATAAAAGAAGGATTTAAAAGCATGAWATATCTCCYTTAAAGGGACAATATCATGTAAAATCAACTTTTTGAGYTTTATATCATGTTATAATGTTATGCTCTCATAAAAAACATGCCCAAAGCCTTGCTTTGACTCATTCATGCATGTCTGAGAAATCCTGCAGCATTTTTAGGAAGCCATGCTGAGGAGCAAAACGACAGGTGGGGACCAGGAACGCCCCAGGGACGTGTCTTTAAGCCGAACTTCCTCATGACAGAGCNAAGGGGAAATATCATGTAAAATCAATTTTTTTGAGTTTTATACTCTGATAAAAAAAACATGCCCAAAGCCTTGCTCTGACTCATTCATGCATGTTTGAGAAATCCTGCAGTGTTTTTATGAAGCCATGCTGAGGAGCAAAACGACAGGTGGGGACCAGAAACACCCCCTGGGACGTGTTTTTAAGCCGAGTTTCCTCATGGCAGCGCACCCCCCCCACACACACACACACACCCTGCCCACGACTCCTGCAGGCTCTTGTGTGAAATTGAAAGTGAAACCTAACTGTCTGCTGAGCTCTCAACATTAGTTCTCACTCACTGAAGCTCTTTTCAGATTAAAAATACCTTTGAGGAAACGTATTTTCAGATGCCAAGTAAACTGCATCATGGCAGCCCCCCCCCACCTCGCCCATGACTCCTGCAGGCTCTTGTGTGAAATTGAAAGTGAAACTGAAACTGTTGAGCTAACATTACTTCTCACTCAGTGAAGTTCTTCAGATTAAAAATACCTTTGAGGAAATATATTTTCAGATGCCAAGTAAACTGCATCATAGCACCTCCTCCCTCGTGCGTGCAAAAAGGGGTGGGACAGAAGCGGAAGGAGGTTCTTAAAGAGACAGAGGGCAATTTCAAGGCGTTCAGAAGCGGAAGTGATGAGAAGATAAGTTTATTTTCTATTTAAACATAAAAACAGCATTTTAATAACAGCTAAAGGTGACATAGATACTTTATTTTGGTATAGTATTTAAATATATGCCTGAGAAACACATAATATTGGCCCTTTAAATGCAGTCATTTCCACAGGCAGCTTCTCACCAGCTAGTTTTATTCTCATTCACCACAGATGGACTTTAACATTTTTACACGTCTTCATCTAAAACCCTGGCATAAAAAGTGGCAGTTGACATGCATTTCTCCAAGACATTCTAGCTCATTTCCTTTGTGTGTGCTTAATATCTAAAGGTGCCTGTGTGTATAAAATAATGAGCAGTGTTTGTTGTTCATTTGGACTCTATAATAAAATGTGCTAGACTGCCAACAACCCAATATCCCCTCATGCCTTGTGAGCCAGAGTACATTTCATAATGAGCCCTGAATGGAGCTTTTTGTCTCAACGCTAATGAGCTGCTTCTGGAACCGGTCAATGGCGCGACACGAAAAAGGTTCACAAACGTGGGGCAGAAACCAACGTTTAGACTTGTTTTTGTGTTTCAGGGGTAGTTAGACATGTACATGATGGAGGTGTGCTGTGCCTTACAGAAAGGGAGTTGAAGTGAGATTTTACCATTGATGGTCCAAACTGAGCTGGTGAGCCCAGTCTCATTCCACGGTGGATCTGATTGCACTTGTGTTATTATTATCGTCATTATTGTGTGAATGCCATTAGGCATTCACACTATTGTTTTTGTTTTTCTCTTTATTATTATTATTATTATTATTATTATTATGACCACAGCTTTCCAGTCTTATTATTACTGCTTCAGCTCTTCTTGTCACACGCTGCTGAAGGGACGTGTCGTCTTTGTCCAGCCCCTCCAGTTCAAACACTTCCTGTGATCTACATTCCTCTTGATAATCAGTCACAGTGTTTGGAACCCAGCCTGGGCAGAGTGGCTTGGCTTGGCGAGGCTCACCAATGATGGGAATAAGAATTTATCAGGACGCTGCATTATGTGTGTGTGTATCTGCAGTTACAAGGTTGTGTATTTGTGTTTATAGGAGAGCGGGATGAATGAGCAAGTGTTGAAACAAGAAACACTTGAAGACATTGCATTTCTAAATGATCAGTATATGCTTGAAGATATTCTGTGTGTGGG